ATTTTTTTTTTTTTTTTCCTAAATCTTTTTGACCAGTTTAATCTTAAAGAATCCATGCAGAATTGAGTTAAGGGGTCCCAGCCTCCATAAAAATCAAAATTTATTCCTCATCTTTAAAGAGCCTAGATCAAAGATGAAGAGAAAATGGAGAACATAATCAGAGGATATGGGATTCAACATTATGAGATTTTTAATTCAATCACATTTTTTTGCACAAGTTGAGTGAAGAACTAAATGTCTAAATCATTTTCTTAATATTTACCAGGAACTACCATAAGGTCTATAAGGAGAATTAGAAGGGAAGAGTGTTAGTCAACAAGTTAAATATGCATTATTTAGAGGAAAAAAAGAAATTTTCTAATTTGCAAGGTGCTGATGATATACTAATTTTATGGCAAGTATAGAAAAACCAGGATTTATGCTGCCAGAAGTATGGAATGTTCCAAGTAAATGCTCCTTGCAACACAGATTAATAATTCTAATTGTCAATTTCTAGTTTTATTTTAAATAAAAGTACATATATATAAAACGTACGGGATTATGGCAGGAGTAATTTGCTGTTTACAGGGAGTAATGCTTGACCCCACCACCTGTCTGTCAGTTTGTTATGATGTGGTGGCTTGCATGTTACTGTGATGCTGGAAGTTTTGTCACTGGTATTTCAAATACCAGAAGAGTTACCCATGGTGGACAAGTTTCAGCAAAGCTTCCAGACTAAGATAAACTAGGAAGAAAGGCCTGGTGACCTACTTCCAAAAATTAATCAGTGAAAACCGTATAGATCAAAACAGAATATTGTTCAACATAGTCCTAGAAGATGAGCCCACTACATCAGAAAACCAACCCGTTGCCATCAAGTTGATTTCAGCTCATAGCAAAGGCACTAAAAATACAGGGTCTCTATATATTTTTGGGTTTGGTTTGTTTGTTTTTTTTAGGGGCAGTAGGGAGGGGGAAAGGGGAAGCCATTGTTTGAGAAGCAGTGAGTTTTTGTTTATGGTGATAGGAAATTTGGCATTGATTAAGGATAATGGTTGCACAACCATTATATAGCAATAAGTCGTATACTTGAAAAAGGTTGAACTGGCAAATGTGTTAATATACAGTAAAACCTGTGAAAGCCAGAATCTGTGTAAGGCAGAAACCTGTCAGAGAAGGAAAACTCAAATATTTTACACTAAAATGAAAGATTGAAAAGTGGTAAAACTGCACCCTGTCAAAGGCAGAAAACTTTTCGAGACTAACAAAAACAAGGCAGTCCCATCAAGTTCCGGCTCTCACAGGTTTCACTGTATATTTTTACAACAACAACAAAAAGAGTAGCTGCTAAGGCTGCTTATGTACTGCCAAACACCTCATGGGATTTTTGTTTATTTGTTTGGAGGTTTAGGGTCATGGTTTCAGATGACATTCCAGTCAATTGGCCTAATATTGTTTTTAATGTTTCTGTTATACCTCCTAGTTTATTATATAGCCTGGGGTCTTAAAAGCTTGCCAGCAGTCATCCAAGGTGCAGTAACTGGTCTCTATTCCCCTGGAGCAGCAGAGGAAGCAGAATCAAGAAATGGAGGAAGAACTGGAATGTGTGTCTGTCTCCTTGAACAACTGCCTCCTTTGCCATGAAACCAGAAGAACTGGTGATGGCTGGCTACCATTACTGAATGTTTTGATCAAAGACTCTGTAGAAGAATTCTGATCAAAACTGGGAAAAATGTGGAACAAAATTTCAAGTTCTCATTGAATCCAAACTTTCTGGAACCACTGAAGCTGGATGACCCCTGAAACTATTGCCTTGAGATAATTTTTAAACCTTAAACTAAAACTATCCCCTGAAGTTGTTTTTAAACCAAACAATAGCTTAATTAGTATAGAATATCTGCCTTAAGAATTGTGGTCTTTTAAATATTTATATGTGATCAAATTGACAACAGCAACTCTAAACGTTAGATGAAAAGCTTAAGGGGCCGTGAGTTTATGTTAATGGTGGTGGGATAATTTAGAAAAGGATACAGAGAATGGTTGTACAACTTGAAAAATGTAAGCCATGCCACTGAGTTGTACATGTAGAAATTGTTGAATTGGTGGATATTTTCACCAAAAGAAAAAAAAGTTAAAAAAAAATACATATAGACAGCAGCCACAACAATGGATTTGAGTGTATCAACAGACATGAAGAGAGTGCAGGACTGCGCAACATTTTGTTCTGTTGCACCTGGGGTGCCATGAGTGGAGCTGACTCTACAGCAACTAACAACAACAATAACCGATGCTAGACCCAGCTACGGCTTGTGTTATGTTATCCTTTTGCCCTGCTCTTACTTATACCTGTTAAGTTGTTCTTGAAGCAAATCTAGTCTTTGTTCTACTTCCCCGTATGTGAGGTCACTTTCGGTTTCGGATATCCCCCAGGCGGCTTGCTGCAGTGCTGAGGGACTAGACTCATGGGGCTGAGTCCGGGCATTGTCTCGTTCCCAACTTCGTGTGTCAGTGACATCTGTGGAAAATAGCAAGACCGACATCAACTTTTTTGGGTGCCCCCTAGTATCAGTAACACATAGGTACCCATGAGACAAGCTAGAAGGGATGTTGGGATACAACCTGAGAGACTGACAACCAGAGGGATTCAAGGGCATGTCCAGGGGTCACAACCAGTTGATAGCAGAGTCCCACTCCAACCTGCCTGCCTTCCCTCCCATAGTCATTTCCATATGAATAAAAACATATGGCAGGTCATGGTCTTGATTATGATTTTGTCTTCCTTCTGTGCTAAGAGGAGACAGGATGTCAACTCAAAAGTAATTAGAGAGCAATGATTTTGCACTTTTATATTTAGGAGGAAATATAAAAGTGCAAAACCATTTTGTTTGTGCTTCACCTAGGGTTTAAGATTTTAGGACTCTTTCCCACAGAAGAATTTGAATATTTCATGACTCAGATTGGGCCCCAAAAGAGAGCCATCAGGAAAGTCCTGTCTTCAGGGGGATTCCCTTCAGCCAACACAACTCAAAATATAGCCGTGGAGTCATAAAACCATTAAAGATAGGAAGATTCTAAAAAGTCCTCTAGTCCCCAAACCACTGTTTCATGTTTTAATGTCTCCTTGTAGCTCCTTCTGTACTGCGCTTTAATACATTCACATTGCTTTCTAATATTTTTTTCCTGTGGCTCTTTTGTTTGGAATATTTTTTATGTTGTTGTTAGGTGCCGTCAAGTTGGTTCCGACTAATAGTGACCCTATGTACAACAGAATAAAATGCTGCTCGGTCCTGTGCCATCCTCACAATCATTGTTATGTTTGATCCCAATGTTGCAGCCACTGTGTCAATGCATCTCGTTGAGGGTCTTCACCTTTTTCACTGACACTCTACCAAGCACAGTGTCCTTCACCAGGGACTGGCCCATCCTGATAACATGTCCAAAGTACGTGAGACAAAGTCTTTCCACCCTTGCTTTATTTTTATGCTCTTATACAAGAGCTTGGCTGTTAACCAAAACGTGGGCAGTTCGAATCCATCAGCCGCTCCTTGGAAACCCTATGGGGCAGTTCTACCCTGACCTAAAGGGTCGCTGTGAGTTGGAACCGACTTGATGGCAATGGGTTTGGTGTGGGTTTTATTTTTTAAATATATCTTATATTTTTATGTTACGATACATGCTTATCTGTTCAAGTCCAGTCCTCAAATGTTCAGAGTGTCTGTTATGTGCCAGGCACTCTGCTAAATGCAGAGAAACTAAAGATGAAGAAGATATAGGCCCTGTACTTGAAGAATTCTGTCTAGCAAGGTTTTGGTTATTTTCATACAGAGATCATTTTATGAAACTTCTTTTAATTTACTGTTTCTCCGATATTCTATATTTCAAGTTATCAATATTTGCGGGCAAATACAACATCCTACTTTTCCCTTCATTTTTGTTATGATTCTAGGAATAAAGAACAGGATGGTAGGACTTCCTGAAGTCTCTTCCATTTCTAGTTTCTCCTAAAGTACAGACAAGTAGCTCAAAAGTATTCTGTTTCTCCACGCAGCAGACAAAATTTCTGTATCTTTTCTTTATGGTTTTTCTCTCACTATCCTTTTATCACTGAGTACACAGAAATTTCTCTAATGCGGTGCCTACAATTTCTGCCTCAGTAGGGGGAGGCTGTAACAAAGAAATTAGCATATTCAGAGACAGAATTAGAAAAACACAGGGTCAGAGTTCCTTCTTCTGTTGTAATGACTAAAAGACCTCAGAGAGCTCACCTTGAATTCTAAAAAGGTCCTTTGTGATCAAGCTTCCTTAGCCTATGGGATCCAGTGTTTCCTAAAGTGATGGTATATTGTTTCTTTTTGATATTTTACCAAACTTGTCAAAATGAAAGTGAACATAGAAAAAGGAAGAAGAATGACATTGCTGGAGTTTTAAGTAATTTATCAGCAGATTTTCACTGGGACGTATGATTTGTTTTTCATGAACACATGAACCTATTTAAGAACAATAAATATTTCAATCTGTTAGTAAACTAAGTTTTCAACTTTGGAGCAGCAATGCCAAACAAACATTCAGAACACACCTGTGAATGGTTTGGTGATGCTCATGCTTGTCTCATCTAGCCCCATGCTAGCCAGTTGATGGGGAAGCTTTAGGGAAGAAAACAAGAACTGATAGGATAAATGGAAGTTAAAGATTATGCTAAAAAATTTTGTGCTAAGAAAGCTTATAAAATTTCTACCTATGCTTAACTGCTCTCTCACTTCTCTAGTCATATATAATAAATTGATTTTTAAATGACAACGGTGAATCACATATGATTAATTATAGATTATATTTTTTCTTCAGTGCTCAAGAAAAAAATTGATTATCCTCTCTTAGCAGAAATGAATAAAATGTAAACTGCTAGACAGAAGCGTCCTTGATTATGAATTACTCCTATTGAAATCTGAAGAAGTGTGATTGGCTTATTTCACCAGCAATTTAAAAAATAAGAAGTTCAAAGGGGAAATTCTGGCTAGTGGTCTTAATCAAAATGAACATCCTTGTACATACTTTCTAAATATAGCTCAGAAAGAATCTTCACTTGGTTGCCTTGGAAAATGTTGCTATAGTTGCAAGACACATTTCTGGAAATGGATGAGCAGAAAGTAAACTGTGTACACAATTTTCCTACAGTCAACTTTTGACCTCAGTCTAAATAGAGTCAGAGTCCACTTAACTTTTCTGTTTTCTTTTTAGTTTTGCCTAAAATGTGCTCTTCTGTTGGATTCAGCATGTCAAATGCTAGGAATGTGAGTCAGTGAAATTTCCTATCAATGTTGAAACTAAAATTTGTGGGGATTTAGTAGTTCACACTGCCGTAATTATAGATACACCTTACATATTATTCATGTTCTTGAACATTTCACAGTACTTCACCTTAAAAATCACCACAGTTATAAAATTTGCAGTTAATGAAGTTCTAAAATCCTCCATTGATTAATCACGTTAAGTAACTAGGTTAACTGTGTGTCACACTGATTGAAGCTGTATAACATCAATTATTTTTATTCAGTTGACATGTATACTTAGCTATGCATTTTCAAGTTATTTATCATTTCTTTAAGGATTGCATTGTAAATTTTTGACAACTAAAAATTTATAGATAATAAAATTATTTGTTAGAATATTATTATTATTATTTTGGATTGTGCATACGGAATGGCTAATTAAAAATAATTGGAAAAAGTGGTAAAGAAAAATAAAAGATGAAGGGCAGGGGAATTCACTGTCGGTGAAAGTCATTACAAAGTAGAATACAATTCCAAACATGTCTTTTATGACTTGTCACTTGAGAATCTAAAACTCAAGAAGAAAAAGCAATAAAAGCACTTTATTATTAGGTCCACATTATGCTGACTTTGGAGATAGCAAAGATGTCAGAAAGCTCTTCAGAACTGACTTCCAGATATAACCTGTTTCTATTAAGATCACTTCCTAGATATGCATTTTAATAAATAACTAAAATGGGACATTTGGTAATCACATCTAATATTCCATTCTCGCATTGTGATAAATGAGGTACTATTTTCATTTGCTTCATCAAGATTTTAGATTGTCCAGAGAACATTTGCATATATTCTCAGTTTACTTCAACCCAGGGTCATGGTGAAAGCTGATTTGATATGATAGGAAAAGTAACTCTGGAAAAATATAAAATCCTAGACTTAAGAAGGTTGTTATTATCAAATATGGCCCCTTCAAAAAATGGTGACAACGGCAGATAATATTTACTTACTCTGTGCCATACATTTTGTTGTCCTGCCAGGCCAAGAACATCCTATTTTAATTTCATTTTTGTTATATTCTTTTGATGTTTCACTATGCCTTCTTAATCTCTAGATTTTTATATATCCAGGGATATATTAAATAATCAAAGAGTTGAGAAATGAAAAAAAAAAAAAAAAAAAAAGAACCCATAAGAAAATACTAAATGGAGTTAAGGAATTTATTTGAGAAAAAGGGAATTTACATCTGTTATTTAGTTATCACAAATAACTAATTGGTTAGATAATATTATTATTCCTATTTTAAAGGTGTGCAAACTGAATCTTAGCGGGATCGGTTAGGTAATTTACACAAAGTCACAACGGGAGCAAGTGACAGAGTTGGGGTTGGAACCCAAGCAGTCTGACCCAAACCTGTTCTGGGAAACACTCAATAGCAAATCTAGCTAGATCTGTTGATCTAGCTCCAATTACGCTGGGTTAATTGCTCTTTCATGTAATACTTGTTCAAGTTTTCATGAATTTGCCATCCTTTAGCATCACATCTGCATACATTAATCAAGTGTTATCACTCATCTCATGAATATTTTCTACAGGAAAACCCACACATTTGGGTATTCCTTTTGTTAGGGATGTTAAACAAATTGTGTTCAAATGAGTTGGACCATACATTATCTCTCCACTCTTTCTCATAATTTTTAGTAAATGGAAATTCTTTTTGGCATTTATTGTGGTGTTACTGCCCTGGCCTTTCATGCTATAAGCTACAGGGTTGGAGGTGAGAAGTGGGTACAGAATACACATAGGAAAATCCACTGGTTAGCCCTCTTAAAATATTCATTGATCCTATCCCCATTGAAATCACTACAATAGACATTGCCACGTTTTTTTTTACATGGCGTTTCATTAAGTCTGGATGGCTACAAAAACCTCTCATGCTATCATCGATTGGCAATTACCACTGGTTCTAGAATTGTGTAAACACTTTGAAGATGATCTGAAGTCTGGACTCTGCAAATATTCCATGAAATGGCAAAAGATTAGATTGCCATGTATTAGTACAGTTCTCAATTTGTTAAAGGTCACCTTTTTATGATTAGCACTGAGGAGAGACAAACGGATTCATGAGGAACTCGATTACCTTTGCAAGAGTGACTTCTTTTATCTATGTGAATTCTTCCTGAGGTGGGCACTGTTTCTTCAAAATGTAGTCCAGTTGCTTTCCCTGTTCCCAGAGGAGAATCTACTATTCCTGAGAAGAGCGGCTTTTGTTCATCATCAATGGAGGAGATGAAAGATGATGATCTGCTTTTTTTCTCTTCCAAGTGTTTCTTGGAACTCTGATAATGTCTTATAGTAGCTACAGAATCTTCAGGATCGTTTGTACTGTTTTCTTTTCCAAAATCTATCAAAGGAACATTATTTTGTAGAAGATAATCAAATGTGTGAATCTACGCATATTATGCTACTCAGCTACATATAAACTACTTTTTATAGTGATGTTCTTTGAATAACTTTAACATAGAATTTTATGTAAAACCATCAGAAAAGTTGTTCTTTGTATTTTTCCTTTTGAAAATGTGACTACTTAGAAGAGGCTTTATTTATTTATTTTTAATACCAGGGACATCAGATTATCTTAATGAGATAAATTATTCATTTTCAAAATAAAAAGAATATCTGCAATAGTAATCTTGTAATAATGTTTAGAAAAAAACTATAGCATAACTTACAAATTCATTTATACATGCTTAACAGTCATTTATATTCCAAAAATCTGGTGCACTATCTAGGGAAAAGTTGTCCCAATGCTAAAATATCACCACAAAATAACTTATTGTTTGTTTATAACTTCCATGCCCCATCATCTGTGGCAGATGCTCACACACTGCAAAGGTAAAAACTGGAATCCTCTATAGCAAATCCTGGTAGGCTTCATCTCAACATTAATTGAATGCATACGTTGTAATATACCATCAAGTCGATTCCAACTCATAGCGACCCTGTAGGAGAGAGTAGAACTGCCCCATAGGGTTTCCAAGGAGCGAATGGTGGATTTGAACTGCCAACACTTTGGTTAGCAGCCTGAGCTGAAATTCCAGGCAGCTTGGTTGTGTAGCATATTGAGAAGAATACGAAGCTTAAATACAGTAATTAAGGTAGGTCCCACCTAATTACATTAAAGCCAGTAGTGCATATTGACTGTTTTATACTAAAATGTCAGGATAATTTCAGCCCTGAAGGTTGTGTTGGAACGTATTTTAGCAGGAAAAACTCTAAGAGACAATTTCCAGAACTCATTTCCATTAATGTCCTGGGGAGACAGTATAATTCTCCATCTGGTTCCTGTTAATAACTAACCAACAAAACTCCAGAACATATATAATTTTCTATAGAAATGGTTAGGACGGGTCCTCCTCTACTCTGCCTGGTTGTGCTTACTTGGTTATTCATAGAAGGCTAAATTAGCTGATTTAAGGCCACTCTAGAGTGCCTTCCAACTATTTTTTTAAATATTCCTATATGGCATATAAATTAAACAGCTTTTTTTCATTTTTTAATATCATAATTTAAAATATGAGAAGCCAGAAAGTAACCCAAGGTTAAAATAGATTAAGGCTTAAAAATCAGCTTCATGTGAAATTCTTATTAAGGAGTTAATTTTCTGTCAATTAAAGTTAAATCTAATGAAAGCAGATTCCTTAACTTATTTTCTTTAAGATTGCACATTTCCTCAGTGATTTCATCATTGCTAGGAAGACCACAGATCTTTCCAATCTCAGCCATCGTAGGCAGCGTTGATTACTGATTATTCCTCTACTCTACTACTAATTTAGTTGGTTGTAAATATTCTGATTAGCTCTTCCCACACCAATCTTATTCTCTCCAGTGTCACTGATACTTGCTACTGTTGGGTCCATTCCAACTCATGGTGATCCCACGTGTGACAGAATAGAACTGTATTCCATAGAGTTTTCAATCGTCTTTTGCGATTAAGTCCCTGCCACTTTGACCCTGCTATCCGGGGATCCAATCACCCCTATTGTAGTTAGGTTACCCAATTCAGTGACAGTAGTTTCACTGTAATGCCTGATCTACACAGAAAAGCAATCACAGCAGTCTTCAAGGATGCTGGGGCTCCCTTCACAAATTTATTCCTTATAGTTGTGGTGAAAGGTGTGTCCTCCGGGCACTCCCTGGGTGGGTCAGTGGGCTCAACATGACAATCCACTCTAACATTTCAATTTCCTTAAGCCTTTGAATGCTTTCTTTTATAGTATACCAAGGCAGTTCTGACATTTCAACTTCAATTAGGGTAGGCCACTTTTTAGTCTACATTTCAGCCAATCTTCCAAATAAGCTATTACATTCTATCTAACCCCTTCAGCTGAAACATTGAATAAAGAATCTCTGCTTAGTGGGCACATATCAATAAACTCAGACTGATCCAACTTTATGTTCTTTGAACAATTATCCCATACCCTTAGTAGCCATTCCCACACATATTCTCTAGATTTCTGTTTGTATACATTAGACAAATCAAGCAGTTCTTCTGGAGTGTAGTTGTAGCCTACCTCCTGATGGGTCAGGACTAGAAGCAAAAATGGGTGGTGGGGGTGAGTCCTAGGGACATTAATTAATGTCTTGCAAGTTGTCTGCCTCAGGTAACACTCCAGTTGCTGGCTGCCTCGGGCAATGTCCCAGGCAATGCCTCAGGCAAGGACTCCTAAGAGGCATCTGGGTTAATCTAATCAGGTGGGAGGTGGGAGGGCTGATTTTACTGGTAAATGTGATTTGGTATACAAAGCTGGATTAATCTCTTCAGATGGGGGTGGAAGGGCTGGTTCTACTGCCTAGGGTGATTCAATAGAATTTAGGGGCTGGATGTCCCAGGCTTCACCTATATCTGCTCATCCGTGCCTGTCCCAATTTTCAGGATCCCATGTCTTCCCAATCAATGCCCTCACTTTAACTTCAGACACATTTTGAGGTTGGTAATTCCATTGGAACTGGAATCCAACCATTCTTAGGATAGGACTCTGGGTTTGGTTTTCAGCAATATCAGTTCTGTTATTGCAAGAAATAAGGCTTTGTTTCGGGGCACAAGTAGCAACGTTCAGTCCTTTACGTGGAGCTTGAACTGGACTCTGAAGCCCAGAGCTCATCCTTTTCTTTCTTCACTTTGTCTAGCAGAAGAAAGTAGGACCATCCAGCCAGCTTCATTTTACTTGTTAATTTGACAAAAAATTTGAAAGGTATCAAATACACAATTACCCAGAGCCTGTCCCTCACAAATAATTGATCCAGTGGTGGTGGTGATATTTTGCATATCTCTTTTGCCACATCACACCATGGATTAAAAATGCCCTCTTTACTTCTGGAAATAGAGTCATTAGGCCTTTCTTTCAAGACACCTCTGGATAGACTCTAACCTCTAACCTTTAGGTTGGTAGTCAAGTGTGTTAACCGTTTGCACCACTCAGGGACTCTGTTATTAACACAGCCCTCCTTAAATGTTTAAACTTCCTTCTTGTCATCACTTCCTTGCTGTTTTCTTTGTCTTAATTTCTCCCCTCCTCCAAAACCTAAACCCATTCTGACTCATAGGGACCCTATACAGGAGAGTAGAACTGCCCCATAGGGTTTCCAAGACTGTAATCTTTATGAAAGCTGACTATCACATCTTTCTCCTTCGGAGTGGCTGGTGGGTTCAAACTGCTGACCTTCTGGTTAGCAGCCAAATGCTTAACCACTGTACCACCAGGGCTCCTCCCTCCTCCAAAGCCCTCTAAAAAATTTGATCAGTGTTCTCCACTTTTTGAATACAACGTTTTACTCTTAACAAAATAATAATTTTTGTTTCTATACTAGTAAATCAATAAAAAAACTTCACTTTTCTAAATCATCTTCATACCTATTTAGTGAATTTGTATCAGTTTGCTGCTCTTAAGTAAACCACTGTGAAGTCCCTGACTTGCACGTCAGTGGGATTGAATCAGCTCAGCCTTGTCATCTTTCCAAAAGTGCTTCTCATCCTTTTAAACACTTTCATGGAGTCTTTCCCATCAGAATCAAATGCAAACTGAATTAATCACTAATTCACATACCTCCAATCTAAGAAAATAGATATTCGAATCTGGCATGGATATTTGTAATGAATGTACATTCACAAATTATTAAACCATTTTGTGTCTTTGGCTTGAGAGGTGTTGGGAGTTCTCTGCTAATTTTTAGATCCTTAGACATGGTAGAATGTTCTGTCCCACCCGCTAGGTCTTAGTTTCCTAACAAATGGCTTGATTTTGGATGCTTAGGCACAAGATTCTCTAGTTCACATACACTGTTTAGTTGGATTATACTTATAACATGTTGAGGGCAAGTATTTAGAAAATGTATACTTATAACAATTGAATACAAGTATTCAGAATACGTAGTGAATGAGCAATTACTACCATTTAGTTCAATAGTAAAACGGAACCAATTACTTCGTATACCTAGTGTCTAACTTCTTCAGCAAAAATTCCCAGAAAAAGCAGAATCACGAAAGGAGAGAAAACATTAGCTATTCTCAAAATTTTCCAAGTTGTAAGAAAAAAAATACATTTATTTCTGTGTCCATTTCCACTCAGCTATCAGCCAGCTGCTTCCTGAAACCCAGGCTATGTGAACAGTTTCTCTGATGCAGCCCTATTGGAACAACATTTTTCTATTTCAGAATAGATAAAGGAAAGCTTCATACTCTCTCATATAAAATGAAAGTTGAAATGACATTCTATTTGTGGATTAACAATGGAAACTGCTAAGGTTTAGGAATATCGTGAAATTGGGCAGCTAAAATGCATTTTAATTAGCCTCTAAGTACCTCTAGATTTTGACGGACTGTTCCATTTCTCCCCTTTTTTAGTTAAACTGAATTATTTGATAGAAATTCAGTAGTACTGTTGTTATTGTTGTGTGTTTTTGAGTCGATTCCAACTCATAGTGACTCTATAGGACAGAGTAAAACTGCCTCCTAGGGTTTCCTAGGCTGTGATGCATTTGAATTATGGTGTTGTCGAAGAACACTGAATATACCACGGACTGCTAGAAGAATAAATAAATCTGTCTTGGAAGAAGTAAAGCCAGAATGATCCTTAGAAGTGAGGATGGCAAGACTTCATCTCATGTACTTTGGACGTGTTATCAGGAGAGACAAGTCCCTGGAGAAGGATCATGATTGGTATAGTAGAGGGTCAGGGAAAGAGAGGAAGACTCTTAACAAGATGGATTGACACAGTGGCTGCAGCAATGGGCTCAAACATAGCAATGATTGTGTGGATGACAGCAGGACAGGGCAGTGTTTTGTTCTGTTGTACGTAGGGTTGCTATGAGTCGAAACAAACTTCACGGTAC